GATATTATTCGCGGTGATATGCAGTAGTCGTGAAATATGTTTTTCATATCACTAGGGTGAAACTCCATTGAATGGAATCTGGAGTTTAGCATTGCCCGAGTATCGTGTTATACGTGTGAGAAGCGTTTTTGGAAATGATTCTGAGCTCCGAATTCGCTCCTGAGAGAGTTGAAATTATGGTAGAAACAGCCGTTGAAGCTGTACCAATGGGGATAGTGAAAACTGCCGCACGAATTCAATTGATCGCGTTACTCTTCGTGCAGTGTTGGAGTGGGAATATATGTAATCGCTTTCCTCAGCTGCTGAGCTCAGGAGTTTCCTGTACAGTGTTGGAGTAGGAATATATGTAATCGCTTTCCTCAGCTGCTGAGCTCAGGAGTTTCCTGTACAGTGTTGGAGTAGGAATATATGTAATCGCTTTCCTCAGCTACTGAGCTCAGGAGTTTCCTATACAGTGTTGGAGTAGGAATATATGTTCGCTTTCCTCAGCTGGGCTCAGGAGTTTCCTATACAGTGTTGGAGTAGGAATGTATGTAATCGCTTTCCTCAGCTGAGCTCAGGAGTTTCCTATACAGTGTTGGAGTAGGAATATATGTAATCGCTTTCCTCAGCTGAGCTCAGGAGTTTACAAAGCTAATTATACGAGTTTATATGCGAATTCAGGAATCGAAATTTCCTCTCAGAATTTTCATATTGTCACCATCAACACATGTAGTTGACCATGTGCATATTTCCCCCACACTCCATATTAACAACAATAGACGAGTTTACGGTTGTGAAACTGAGATTGGGCGTATCAGTGTAAATCAATATAAAGGCTCAGGGGGAAAAACACCAGTGTTAGCGGAGGCACTACTGACCGACCGGCTCGACCAACTCAAAAATTGTAAATTTTTGTATGCTCATGAAAATTTCCACTTTTCGGAATTTTCATGTTTTCTTTCTGGGGGGTGTAATCTTTTTGCGATTCTTTCCTGGTAGTTGACGACTTTTTACTAAATTTCTTGGAGGGTACTGTATGCAGTCAATATTAGAAGGTGAGGTTTCATCTCGTGTAAAAAGCGCGCGCCATTCTGATCGATTTGTAAATGCCTCAGGTAGAAAGATCAAATCGGCAATATTCGTAGCATTAGGAGTTTTATTTATTCGGAGAATCTCTCGAAGTGAGATTTTCGGCGGAAAAGTTTGTCAGTGTTTTGGAGGAATATATGTTTGCTTTTTCAGTTGAGCTCAGCGTTCGCTCACTCGTTATAGGAGTTTACATACGAATTCGGGTAGAAGTGTTCAGAAATTGGCGAGATATTCCCAAAAAAATTCTTTGAAATTTTCATATTTTTGCACGCATGCGCAACAATTCAGTTCTGCGAGAGCGGTCGTTTCAAGGCTTGCTGACGAAATGGCTGTTGGTGATGCCTGTTCGGTTGGTACTCCCAGCGATGGTAGTATATACGACGGCTAAGTAGGTTGAGGGGTGTATGTGTAGTGGCGTAAAACGCGATATGTAGTAGTCGTGAAATATATTTTTCACTAGTGTTTTTTCATATCACTAGGGCCGCCAGTGAAACTCTGTTAATCTCTACCAATCAACTGAAGACACGTAGTTTCCAATTTCGTTTTATAATTATGTTTATATTAATTTTTAGAGTAGTACTCACTTGCGCTGATATGAATTTGTTTGGATATGTTATTGAAATTACATAACACGTAGCTGTCGTTAGGGGTTAGACGATATGAAAATGTATTCGCGATGAATGACCTTTTACCAGTTCGTGGAAATTTCGCTGTAGCTATATGAATACATTGACACAACGTGATTTAAATCGTGAGAAATTTCAGTGAGTAAGGGTAGAGCTAGCTTGTGAAAAACCATATTAAAACTGAAAAGAAAACGTTAACCATTTTTTTTGGATTTCAGATGGAAATTGAAATTGGAATCGGGCAGTGTACGAGGAATGTCGGATGCGATACGTGAGTGGTGTTTTGTCCAAAACGGGTGGAATAATATCAATGGGAACCTTTTCATAGTAAAATTGGAAAAAAATTGAAAAAAATGGAAAAAAAAGGACAAAAATGGAAAAAATGGAAAAAAAATAGAAAAATGGTAAAAGTACTCAAAAACGGAAGTGAAATAAAATGAAAAAGGAGAAATTGCCTTACGTTTTCCGAGATTTTCTCTAGCGTATGAGAAAGGATACTGCCTTTGTCATTCATGCTTATTTGACGTAATGTGAATCGAGGAAATTACGGTTCTGGTTTTTTCCCGAGTTCATATGGTGCCGTTAATATATCCCGACATCTGACGCTGCAGTGTTGAAGGAATATATATTCGTTTTCCTCAACTGAGCTTGGGAGTTCCCTTAGTAGTTATAGAAGTTTATATACGAATTTGGGCGCGCTCACAGAATTTGCCTAATTTTTTCAGAATTTTCATATCGTCAGCGACAATTTCATTTTGGGAATTTTATGCAATTTTTTGAAGGAAAGTTTCTCATATGAATTCGCGAAGAAATGATGTTGTTTGTATTTTAGGTTTAATAGGAAGACACGCGTTCCGGGCGTATGTGACATTCGAAATATACTTTTATTTTGTGTATTTGTGGAAGTATTGGAAACTTAATAAAGTGAATGTAAGTTTTCTCCGTTTTTTGTATTATTGGGTGGTGAAGTGGTGAAAAGGGCGATATTATTCGCGGTGATATGCGGTAGTCGTGAAATATATTTCTCATATCACTGGGGCCGCCCGTGAAACTCCAATATAAAGTTAGTGTGGGGGGAAATATGCATATGGTCAACTACATGTTTTTGTGACAATATGAAAATTTTTGGGTTTGCGTACACTTTTTTTCCGAATAAATATGAAAACTTGTATAATTAGCTTTGGAAACTCCTGAGCTCAGCTGAGGAAAGCAAACGTATATTTCTTAGAAATATATGCTCGCTTGTTATAGCTGAGCTCAGGAGTTTATATGCGAATTCGGGTAGAAGTGTAGAAAAATCAATGTAAATTTTCAAAAAAAATCACATCATGTAAATGCACATCGTGGAACGCTTCGCTCCGCTGTGCTCGAGATGAGACGATTTGAGACACCCTTCTCGTGTGTTGAGTTTTATGTTTATCCGCATGCTATGCTGAATAGTATCTTATGCGCACGCGTGCAGGTTCATCTGGTTCCGCGGGATTTGAATATAACGCGAGAAAAGAGGATGGCAAAATTGAAGCGCTCTTTACGAGGGCTGAGACAAATACATGTAGGTGGACCTGGCTCGGTAGAAGTGGGGCTTCACAACGTTTTACGTGGAGTGGTGAAAAACGCGATATTATTCGCGGTGATATGTAGTAGTCGTGAAATATATTTTTCACTAGTGTTTTTCATTTTGTGCTGTTTCTTTGTGGTGGGGGGAGAAATAATTGGTATGCACGCACGCACACTCGAAATTGTAATATATTAGTACTTTTAGGTGGATATAATCGTGCGTTAATATTTCACATTTCGGGATTTCTTCCACAAATTCTAATTACATACTCCCGTACTTATACGTTACTTCCTACCTATTAATTCTAAACAGCGAGCGCTGATCTGAGGTCTGTGAGTTGATATATACGTGCGGGTTTGTGGTAGATACATGCTGCTGTGAATGCTGATCACATTGATGTGTATGAGGATGATGCAATGAGGGAGGTAGGTAGATGTGACGTTTTACCCCGGGGAAAAACGTTCGGTAATGATTGGTATTTGGCATAATCATGTTCTGAGAGTTTATATAGACTACAACATTTCTCGGTTATGTTTCCGACTTTCGCATTGTTATTTCCGACCAACTGCATGCGAATATCCGACCCGTCAGGATTATTACTCCGATTCGCACCCACACGTGCAAAATCCGAATCACGGGCGGAGCTCCAGTGTGATGGTCATATTAAAAGTGTTTATAGAGAAAATTCCAAGCTGATATGAATAGTAGTTGGAAAATTGGGTCTTGGATTTCGCGTAGTATGTGCGTTTTGTATTTTGATGGGATTGCCGCGATGAATAGGAAATGGTAGCTTCGCTCCGCTAAGAGAACTTGTGAAATTTCAGATGTTCCATGAGGTTGATTCGATGGAAGATGGAGGAGTACATGGTCTGAATAAAAGCGCGCAAAATTTACTAAATGAAGGTAGTGGAGTAGGATGGAGGGTTGTTTGTCATTCCAGAGGGCGTGGGGTCGAATCCCATGCCGTTGATTTTAAATGGTGTTAAGTAACGTGTAAATCGAAATGTGTTTTACTCCTGCCTAGTGTTGGAGTAGGAATATATGTAATCGCTTTCCTCAGCTGAGCTCAGGAGTTTCCTATACAGTGTTGGAGTAGGAATATATGTAATCGCTTTCCTCAATAGCTGAGCTCAGGAGTTTCCTATACAGTGTTGGAGTAGGAATATATGTAATCGCTTTCCTCAGCTGAGCTCAGGAGTTTCCTATACAGTGTTGGAGTAGGAATATATGTAATCGCTTTCCTCAGCTGAGCTCAGGAGTTTCCTATACAGTGTTGGAGTAGGAATATATGTAATCGCTTTCCTCAGCTGAGCTCAGGAGTTTCCTATACAGTGTTGGAGTAGGAATATATGTAATCGCTTTCCTCAGCTGAGCTCAGGAGTTTCCTATACAGTGTTGGAGTAGGAATATATGTAATCGCTTTCCTCAATAGCTGAGCTCAGGAGTTTCCTATACAGTGTTGGAGTAGGAATATATGTAATCGCTTTCCTCAGCTGAGCTCAGGAGTTTCCTATACAGTGTTGGAGTAGGAATATATGTAATCGCTTTCCTCAGCTGAGCTCAGGAGTTTCCTATACAGTGTTGGAGTAGGAATATATGTAATCGCTTTCCTCAGCTGAGCTCAGGAGTTTCCTATACAGTGTTGGAGTAGGAATATATGTAATCGCTTTCCTCAGCTGAGCTCAGGAGTTTCCTATACAGTGTTGGAGTAGGAATATATGTAATCGCTTTCCTCAGCTGAGCTCAGGAGTTTCCTATACAGTGTTGGAGTAGGAATATATGTAATCGCTTTCCTCAGCTGAGCTCAGGAGTTTCCTATACAGTGTTGGAGTAGGAATATATGTAATCGCTTTCCTCAGCTGAGCTCAGGAGTTTCCTATACAGTGTTGGAGTAGGAATATATGTAATCGCTTTCCTCAGCTGCTGAGCTCAGGAGTTTCCTATACAGTGTTGGAGTAGGAATATATGTAATCGCTTTCTTCAGCTGCTGAGCTCAGGAGTTTCCTATACAGTGTTGGAGTAGGAATATATGTAATCGCTTTCCTCAGCTGCTGAGCTCAGGAGTTTCCTATACAGTGTTGGAGTAGGAATATATGTAATCGCTTTCCTCAGCTGCTGAGCTCAGGAGTTTCCTATACAGTGTTGGAGTAGGAATATATGTTCGCTTTTCTCAGCTGAGCTCAGGAGTTTCCTATACAGTGTTGGAGTAGGAATATATGTTCGCTTTCCTCAGCTAAGCTCAGGAGTTTATATACGAATTTGGGTAGAAGTGTGATACAGAAACCATAATTTTAGTAGTGTTACCGATGCATTGTAGTTGACCATGTGCATATTTTCCCATACACATGTTTGTTATTGGATTCATTTCTCAGGTGCACGACGGTGCGGTACACGATATGCATCTAGTGAGAATCTGGTAAAGTTGTGGGAGAACGACCAAAGTCGAAAACGCGGTCGCCGACTACTCTTACCTTCTGGAGAGGGTGAGTGGTTTCGTATGTGGTGCATGTTATGGTTTGGGAATATACTGCTGTTTCATGGACCGTAATGTGAAAAACAGTAGTGAAATACATACTTTCCCTACTGCTTACCGCGAATATCGCGTTTTTCACCGAGTTTTACGCCACTTCACGTAAAACGGGTGACACTCCAATGTGAATTTCTGCTCAAAAATTTCCACAGAATTTTCATTTTATCATCACCAACAGATGTGGTGGACCACAGTGTTGGAGTAGGAATATATGTCCGCTTTTCTCAGCTGAGATCAGGAGTTTACATACGAATTCGGGTAGAAACGTACAGAAATCTATGTAAATTTTTCTCGAAAAATTTCCTGAAAATTTTCATATTTTCCCATACTGGTGTTGCATATCTTTAGTATCACCGAGAGTACCTGGTAGAAGAGGATCGGCCTCTCTGATGGTACGCGTGCAAAGTTGGTTCTCGGATAGTGCAGGAGATGATGGAGAGGAGGGTAGTAGTAGTAGGGGAATTGGTGGAAAGGTGGTATGGTGTAAATAAATTCGTTAAATCGCCCGTTTTACGTAAAGTGGTGTAAAACTCGGTGAAAAAGGCGATATTCGCGGTGATATGCAGTAGTTGTGAAATATGTTTTTCATATCACTAGGGCCGCCCGTGAAATTCTAATAATATAGATAACAATGGAGTTTCACCTGTTTCATGTGAAATGGGTTGATACTCCATGTGAAAAACGCGGTGATATGCAGTAGTCGTGAAATATTGAAGTTATTTTTCATATCACTAGGGCTGCTCGTGAAACTTGATGGAAGTTATTCCGTTCGCTGCTGATAGTAGACGTGGTTTACTAGAGTTGGTGTTTTGCTGTTAAATGAATGTCCCTGGAGAAATAATATATTTTTGCATTTATGATATAGGGTAATGCGTATGTGTCATTGAGCGATTTGGTGAAAGAGTGGTATGGCATGAATGAAATCGTATCTGTTTGAAAAGGAAGTAACCGTGAATTTGGGAGTTGATTTTGGAGAAAGCGAGAATCTAATACGGTCGTGAACTTGTTTTAGAGAGTTTGAAATATTGTGGCGCGCGAAAATTTCATTGTGGTACATTATGATGAGATGCTAACGTTTTATGGTGGGTTATTTATTCCGATAAGGGTATGAACGATTATTGGTGGGTATTTGTGATGAATTTTGTGTTCAGAGACAAGCGAAGAAAAGGCCGTCCGAGTTCGTGCTTTACAGCGAGCGGAGATTTCGAGGTACTATTTGGGCGCGCGATTTTACCCGAACGATTATACAAAAAAAATATCGAGAAAATCGTTTGGTTTTTTAGTTACTCGCGTAGTTTAATACTCCATGTGAAAAATACGATATGAAGTGAATTGAAAATACTTGGCCAAGTACATCATATCGTATGAAAAACACATCACGTGTTTTACGCGTTTTTCGCTGCTCACATGCGTTTTTCGCGAAGTGAAATGTGAAATGTGTTTTTTCATATCACGGGTGAAACTCCATTTTTATTGCATATAAATATTGTCACCAACAGTGCATATCTTTCCTTTTTTGTATCAGTTGGTTTAGTGGTGCTCCTGTGGAAGCTTTGAAAAGAGGGAATGTGAAAATATGGATGGCAGAGTATTTCTTTGAAGGATATGAAGTAAGTATGGTGGAGTGGATGAGCGTGGGTGTAAGAGATTTATCGGTCGTATTCCGCGGAGGTTCGAATATATGTTGGGGTATTTTCAGGTTGATCAACTCACGCCGTCGGAGCAGGAGGAAATGGAGGTAGTGGGGGATGCTTGTGATGTGATGGATATTTTTTAAAAAAAAATTTATCGATTTTTTTCTATTTTTTTCATTTTTTTCTATTATTCCCTTATTATTATTATTTGATATCATTTTCCATTTTTTCTATTTCTTCCTATCATTTTGTATTATTTTCTATTTTTTTTCTGATTTTTTTTATTATTTTATATTCGTTTTCAGTTATTCGATAATATTTCCAAATATTTTCGATCCTTTTTAAATTTTTTTACTATTTTCTATCATTTTTTTATTATTTTTAAATTTTTTCATATATTTTTTTTCCTATTATTTTAATCTCTTTATCACTCCTCAGGCTATGGTGGATTACATGGAGAAATGGGCGCGCGCTAAATGGGAGGGTACTATTTTGGAGGGATTCTGTTCGGTCGTATTTTTCGTAGGAAAATGAATCACGACTTTTGTGATTGTTTTACGAGAGGGCGATTGTTTACTCCAGTTACATGATTATATTTTTCCGTAAATTTTCCGAGTTTTTTCGTCTTTTTTTCCTGAAAATTTCCACAATTGTTTGCAGTTCGAATCAATCACACGTGTTGACGTCGATAACGGGAGAAGAGCTCCTGAGCTCAGCTGAGGAAAGAGAATATATATTCTTCTAACACTGATCCCATTTCAATAACAGCTATGTTTTTCAACGTTTTTTCGTGGGTGAAATTTTCCGACTCTTCGTCCGTATATGGAAAAATTGAGTTTCTCTGTTCAGATGGTATCAATGAAAATGTGAAGGTTTTCCGACTCACTAAAGATGCGCTACCGAGCCTGTAAGTAATGGTGTTTCGATTCGGGCGAGCGAGAAAATTATTTTTTATATGTTCTCAGTCATCGCCCAGCAATTTGCTATGCAATGACGCATATGGCGATTCCGGCTGTGACCAATCTAGCTATGACGGGGCCTGTGGTGGGTATGGGCTTCAGGTGAGTTAGCGCGCGCCCAGATGATCGATTTGGGGGAGGGGATGTTGTTGTTGTTATTAGTAAATATCGGGCGGGATCGTTGGAGTATTATTATCGGCCGGGAATGGGGCGAAGCGGAGATGTGCATTTTTTGAGAAGATTTGACGAGTTCAATGATCAGAGGAAGATGCCTATTGTGTGAGAATTCCCCTGGCGGAATAATTCCCCCAGTTTAATGATCGTTCGGTTATGAATAGTTCAGAACGATGAGATGTGGAGAATTATTCGTGTAGATTTTAGAAGTCTGGAAAGTGTAGTGAGTATGTGACGATGGAGGCTACCGGTTTTTGCAATATTTTTGGGTGTAAAAGGCTGAGGACATTCATAAAGTTATGAAAAATTGGGAAAAAACTGAGAAATGGTGAAAAATTGTATAATTTAGTTCGCGCACTAGCCTTGGGGGTAACCATAAGATTATATTTTTGTTATTATACAAGTTAAATGCGAATTGATGGGAAATTGACTGAAATTTTTCAAAAAATTTCTCGAGTACTGTACGATAAATAAGGAAGTGTTGTCGGTGTTTATTTATAAGTATTTTTAGAATTTATTTTATTATATACCGTAAATCGCGCGAATTTGATTCAGGTTTTGTCATGGTATTGGTCTTGGTTTATTACCATACATACCAGTGGTGTATGACATCTCGAAACGATTCCCCGATAGAGATATCTTTTGCGTGGATATGCCACATGTAAGATTCATTTCATGCCCGAATTATGACGTGGCATTGTGAGGTGTCACTAAATTCACGAAAATATGTCACCAAATTTTCTCTGGAGAGTGTTGCCGAATGGGCGTTTGTCGGTGATGATATGAGAGTTTTGGGGGGAAATTTTCACAATTGATTTTTGGACACTTCTACTCGAAGTCGTGTGTAGATCTGTGTCATAGTTGTTGATGAAACTCCTGAGCTCAGCTGAGGAAAGCGATTACATATATTCCTACTCCAACACTGTATAGGAAACTCCCGAGCTCAGCAGCTGAGGAAAGCGATTACATATATTCCTACTCCAACACTGTATAGGAAACTCCTGAGCTCAGCAGCTGAGGAAAGCGATTACATATATTCCTACTCCAACACTGTATAGGAAACTCCTGAGCTCAGCAGCTGAGGGAAGCGATTACATATATTCCTACTCCAACACTGTATAGGAAACTCCTGAGCTCAGCAGCTGAGGGAAGCGATTACATATATATTCCTACTCCAACAGCAGGAAATTATCGTAAAATTGTAAAGCGTTCGCGAATGGCTGAGAATAGTCCTTCCCTTCAGATTGCGTGTCGACCCTTCGTGAATCTCCCCTCAGCTCGAGAGATGAGCGCGTGCGTTATTGATATGCTGAGAGCGTGGCGGTATAGTCAGTGCCACGTGGTAAGGGTCCGGGTTGTCATCCGGAAGGTCGTGGGTTCGATCCCTGGTTGTTGCATTTTAGATCGGTCACAGTTTTGGTTGTATTCTTAGCAAGTGGGTGTTGGTAAAAAAGTGAAAAAGTTTTATATTTTTTGATAATTTATTTTTCAGGCGTACCAACCATCGATAGTTCGATCGCTGTCGCTGGTGGACCCAGTGAATTTTCTGCTGGTGAAGAGCGACCTCTTACACAATGCACTGAAAATCGTAAGAGTACACCCCTCCACATATTCTTAGCATACATGGTGTGCAGCTCATAATTCATCAAAGAAGTCGAGTTTCACCCTGATATTTGAACATGATAGCTTTAGTAACACTATCACTAACCTGGCAAGGTTTCAGACTTCCATTCTACTGCTACTCTGATTTACGCACTCGACGCACTTGGAGACCTCCACATATTCTTAGCATATTCTTGAAACACCCTAGGATTTTGGTCATAGGGCACCATTGAAGCACCCAAATTGCCCCGCCGTCAACCACCATGACCACCCACGTCCTGTCATTACTTTGGGTTATGTCGAAGAACAAAAACCTGACTTCAGCAGATAGGGCGCGTATCCGCGCGATGCATGCGGAGAGAGGCACAGACGGTCGTCGACGCTACACCCAAAAGGAGATTGCTCGAGCTCAGCAGGTCAACCAAGCTACGGTGAGTCGAGTAGTGAAGGCTCAGGATCAATGTGGGCCTGTATGTAAGCGGGGACCGAAGTTTCTGATGGATGAACGAACCCGACGTCGTGTTGTGCGCTATTTCTTTGACAACTGCGGGGTGTCTGCCGGTGATGCAGTTACGGAGCTCGATCTAAAAGTCTCACCAGAGACAGTGCGCAGGTTCATTCGGAATGAGGGGGCACAATACGTCAAGCTGAAGACCACTCCGCCGCTGACTGACAGACACAAGGCTGCTCGCATGAGCTTCGCACGGCACCATCTCCAGGGTTACACCAATTTTCGTAAATGGATATGGAGCGACGAGAAGCGGTTCTGCCTGGATGGCCCAGATGGGCTCTACCATACCTGGAGCCTTCCTTCTAGTGCCGAGCAGCTCAAGAGCAAGAGAGCCTTCAATGGCGGTGGTATCATGGTATGGGGTGCGATTAGAGACGACCATACGGTCGCTCTAGCAGAGGTTACGGTCCGTATGAACAGCGAAGTCTATCAAGAAGTCCTCTCTCGTCATCTGTTACCATACTGGGAAGAGTTTAGAGAGGAGGGTCTCACGTTTCAGCAAGATAATGCTCCCTGTCATGGGAGCAGGAGCACTATCGACTGGCTCCGTGAAAGAAATGTGATCCCACCTTGTTGGCCAGCCTTAAGCCCCGACCTCAGCCCCATAGAAAATATATGGGCCTACATGGTAAAGACTCTGTATGGCCCGAACAAACCGATTTTTCGGACTCTGGGGGAACTCAGGACGGCTGTCTTTCGAGCATGGACCCAAATTCCTCCTGAGGTCATAACAAGCTGTACAAGCTCCCTTCCGAAGCGACTCACTGACGTCCTGGCATTGCAGGGGAGGAAAACAAGTTATTGAGCATCTATTGAGTAACTCTAGTCTGATATTATCATCGTACTTTACTTTTTGAATAAGTGACATAACTAGTATGCTAAGAATATGTGGAGGTCTCCAAGTGCGTCGAGTGCGTAAATCAGAGTAGCAGTAGAATGGAAGTCTGAAACCTTGCCAGGTTAGTGATAGTGTTACTAAAGCTATCATGTTCAAATATCAGGGTGAAACTCGACTTCTTTGATGAATTATGAGCTGCACACCATGTATGCTAAGAATATGTGGAGGGGTGTATTTTCGTAGCGAATGATGACGACGGAGTTTTACCGGTCTTACGCGATATTCGTCAATTACGAAAAAGTATATTGGAGTTTCACAACTACCCGTTTTACGTGAAGTGGTGTAAAACTTCATGTGAAAAACGCGATATTCGCGGTGATTTTTTCACTACTGTTGTTCATATCACTAGGGTGGTGAAACTCCAATATTGTGACTTCTCAGGACCATGCTGATCCGTTCGGCACACTGGCGACTTATTTCTCATTGAGAGAGCTCTACACGGTGCACACATTTTGCAGAAATTTTTTCTGGGAAGAGGTGAGAATTTTTTGGGGAAAAATTTTGGCAGAATTTTCGAGACGCGCGTGTGTATCTAGTGATTTTGGGTTTTTTAATTTTTTGAGAATTTTTTGTCTTTTTTGTGAATTTACTTCGATGTTGTTCAGGGAATATTATTTCTCATACTGATGTGACCTGAGATTATTTATTTTTTTTAAGTTTCATGATAAAACTGTAAAACTTTTTGAAAAAAAATTAATTGAAGTTCCATCAAAGTTCATAAAAGTTTTTTTATAAAACTTTTGTCCGAAACTTGTGGAATAAGAAAATAGTTAATTTTTCGCAAAAACCAACAACTGCTTGTATTTTTATTTTGAACTTCTGAACAACTTCAAGTTGTCAACTTCAGAACTTGCTCTGAACTTGTTGTGAACTTGTTCTTCATACAACTTCGAGAAACCATATTGATCAAGATGAACTCTTCGTTTTGGAATACGTTATTGGTGATCGTTTGAGATGTGTAAAAATCGATCACCGTGGCGTGCGCTCTGTGATAAATGCTGATGTAATGGGACCCGCAACCCGTGATATGAGAAAAACCAATTGTAAACATACTCCACAGTTCAATTCGCGGAAAACAATTGTGTTTTCGGTCGCGGAAACGTATATGTTTTTATAATCTACATGGAGTATTACACCACTTCACGTTAAGTGGGTGAAACTTCATTGTTGATAACTTTGCTGCACCAATGGCTGTTTGTATTTTTGTTTTTTATTTTTACTCTCGCAGAATATTCTGTGGCCTGAAGACCTTCGTGAAGTGCCAACTCACATCACTCTGTGTGGCGGTGATTTCATCGCCCCAGTTCACTCCACTAGGAACTTACTTGGTGTTGAAAAGTAAAGTGCCTTAACTGCGGTTCGAACTGGGGTTGATGATGTTTCTGCTTTCTAGGTTGGAACGCTCGGAAATAGCAGAAACTGCGGGGGAATCGATAGAAGAGTAAATTTATGATTTTTTCTGTTTTTTGCGAATTTTTGTTAATTTTCAGGCGCTTCGCTCCGCTGTCAGTTTATTGGATATCGGAAGGAGTTCATGGCGAAATATTATTTTATAGCAGCTCGAGGCGAGAAGTTTTCTCAAGAGTTGCGGAATTGATATTGGGTGAGAATACAGCTCCGTAGTTTTCAAAGGCGAGCCTATTATGCAGTCCAGTGTTGAATGCTAAGGTGAATTCTTAAGAATTCTTCTTATTCTTGAGAGAATTTTTTTAGGGTCTAGTTATCATCAGTATTAAATTGTCGAAAAATTCGGGAATTTTCACTTTTTTTCGGAAAAAAAATTTTCTGCATTTTCCCCGTTCAGATTCGGACGGACGGCCATGGGTATCGAGGAGTAATAGGAAGCCTCCGATAACGGTGACTGTTTCTAGCGCCACGAATATTAGGCAATAGGAAAACGTTGATGTTGTAGAAAAAATATTCATACGCGAATTCATAAGTTTTTGAAATTCTGAATCGTTTCATGTCAATTGGATTTGAGTTTTGTTGCCGTTCGGAAATAGGAGGAGGCGAAATGCCCATGTAGTTGAGGGAATGTTGCGTACTATTGTTGTGTCTACCAGTTGTGTTTATTAGAAAACTTATTATAAAGTTATTATAAACTTTAAACTTATTATAACTATTATTATTAAATTATTATAACTTATTATAAAGTCTACCGGTTTATTAGAAATCGGATGAATTTTAGCTGTTGGACTGGTTACGGTTGATGACCGTTTCACTTGTGAGTCGTATAATCTGCCACGTTGGAGTAGTACAATTATGTTTTCACCAAATAACATCAATTGCGTTTAGTCGGCATCGATCTGTTTGAGACTTCAGGATTGAGATTTTTTTTTTGCGTTGAGTTGCTCTCGCGAAACTAACTGGGTGAAAATGCTGCCGTGGATGACACGAGCGATGGCTTCGGTGAGAGGGAGTTTGCGGACTTCGAGTAAAGTGGCGTTGTGGAAACGGTTGGCAGGAAGGAAGAAGTTTGCTGAGGCTGGTACAGGTGAGAGTGGGTACTCATTTGATTAGCGCGAAAAAGTTAGCTTAATGTTAACCTGCGACCTAACGCGCTGGAAATCATGGGGCGCTCGAAAAAACTATGAGTTTGAGGGGCTCACACTGCGCGAGTTTCACACAATCGATCATCGCAGTGATATGGCTGTTGTTGAATCAACGCGGTGATGACATCAGCTGATCGTGCAATATGTAAGGAATAATGAATATCTACATTATTCGAAGAAGTTATGGTCCATAATATATGGATTTTAGTAACCATCATGAACTGTAGTCACTTTGGAAGTGAGTGAATCAAGGAGGAGAATGAGTGCGGCTACACATGCAGCACTTGAGGCTAGTCATGGCCACTTAACATCTGTAACGATGAGGTTGAAGATTACTGATACTTTGTAGTTGACTGCTACCGCTTTACGATTTTACGTGAAGTAGCTTATTGCTGGAAGAACTTGTTTATCAGAGTTCCACATAGTGAACTTTTCGACGATCGTTGAAACTCGAAATTTCAAACTGGCACTCATCCGTCAGAGCTGCTTGCGGTCCGCTGAACCATCATACCATTGCTGCTCACCAGTGTGGGAAGATATGCACATGGTTTTTACATTTGGAGGAAATTTTGCAAAATTCTTGTTGGTTTCTGTACATTTCTACCCAAGCTTGTATATATGGACTCCTATTACGAGTGAGGAAACTCCTAGGGTTAGCTGATTACATATATTACGACACTGCCGTTCCAGGGGCATCGGGAACACAGTGTGGGAAAATATGCTCATGGTTGACCACATATGTTGGTGACAATATGGAAATTCTGAGGAAAATTTCCGAAATTCTTGCGGGTTCCTGTGCATTTCTACCCTAGTTTGTATATGAACTCCTGTAGTTAGTGAGGAGACTCCTAGGGTCAACTGAGGAAAGCGATTACATATATTACAACTCTGCGGGAACACCCGCATGTCTGCACGATGGGGGTATTCGCTATGTTCTCATTCTAACATAGTACCCACCGGTATCATTAATTCTGGAATCTATAACCAGGGTATTCGATTCTCTGATGAACGTAAATAGTTACTAGCCGATGCGGCTGTCTCAGTCGAACGCAATAGGAAAATATGCGGAAAACTTTCAAGACTCTGGCCGTGGAGCTTGAGAGTGCGCGCCCATCATCAGGGCTTATAATGCAACAAGCTTGAGTGGCGTCTCCCATGGATGCGATAAAAGTGATGAGAAGATCATAACACCATAAAAACATAGTCTTGTATATATGAATATATATAATACTATGATGGAGTTTCACCCATTCTACGTGAAGTGACGTGAGAACTCTGTGAACAGCCGATATTCTCGTGAAATATATTTTCCACTAGTGTTTTTCATATCACTAGGGCCGCCCGTGAAACTTCATTTTCACTATCTGGTTTATACCCGACATTATTACTGTCTGTTTATATGCTCATTAGATGATATCTAATAGTGAATATTATACACTTTTAAAATTTCGTGATTTTAAGAGGGGAAGTCAGAAATTCTGTCGGATGCTTCATTAAATGAGGCCCATTTACGCACATCTTGTTAACTGTTAGGTATTTTCGGAGTAGCTGTAGCGATGGGATTGTTAGCAACACCGATGGGAACAGCTTGTCTTGAAGAGAAAAAAAAAGAGAAGTGGTCGAGTTACATTCGTGGACTAAGTGAGTGCGAGTGTTGGAGTAGGAATATATGTTTGTATGCATTACATGTATACTATGTAGGAATATACATTTGATTTCCTCACCTGAGCTCAGGAGTTTCCAAAGCTGATCATGCGATGGGGGGAATATCGACTTTTCTTCGTATTGTTATCGATACATTGTAGTTGGGTATATTGATAGCGTTGAGGAAATGCAAGAGAGCAAGATTTGCAAATCTTAGGTGATTTTTGTCGTTAGTTACGTCCTCTCCTTCTCCAGCAGCAGATGAATATGCTAGTGCTACTGCTGATAACGAGAGTGGTAAGTGTTTTTAAAATGCCTCTACCAGGAATCGAACCTGCGTGTGTAGGCCCTCCGAGACCGCAAGAAGAATCGTTGAGAAAGGCGGTTGATGATGAGGAATTGGAGTCGGAGGAAACGGAGGAATATTATGTTGATCCTGGAAAGCATGAATGTGGGTATTGTTCATCGTATAGTATCCATAGGGTATGTAATGGAGTTGAACTCGTTTTACGTGAAGTGGCGTAATACTCTGTGAAAACGCGATATTATTCGCGGTGATATGAAAACACTTGGCGAATTGCATCAGAAATATCATTCCGTTGAACGTGAGAAACTGGCAGAATTTCACGTGTTATTCACTGCTGATGTGCGTTTCACGCGAAGTGATATATGAAATATGTTTCTCATTAGTGTTTTTCATATCACGGGTGAAACTTTGTTAAGGTTTATATAATAGAGTTTCATCCGTTTTACGTGAAGTGGCATGAAAAGAAAGTGAAATATAAAATAAATTTTTCACACGTGTTTTTCATATCTATGCGTTGCATATGCCGTATATGGAAATTGTGTTTTACCGGTTCTTTAATCAGATATGAAAGTATTCGCTTGCTCTGATTCGGAGCAATTGGCTTCGGAAATATGTGCGAATTTGGGCACCACAGAAGGGAGGGCGTATACGGGAAAGTGAGTGACGCGGTTGTGTAGCATGCATGTATTTAGCGCTCGCCATGTTGATCGATTACGAATCCTTGTTTGATGGGCGCAAGCAATACTGGAGTTTCACAGCCCGTTTTACGAGAAGTGGTGTGATACTCCATGTGAAAAACGCGATATTCGCGGTGATATGAAAACACTCGGCGAACTACAGTAGAGAAATTAGCCCATAGCACGTAGAACACATTATGTGTTTTACGCGTTATTCGCTGCTTTCATGCGTTTTTTAGCAAAACTAAATGTAACATATATATTTTTTCACTAGTGTTTTTTCATATCGCAAACGCGAAAACTAAAACGTCTTGTGAATAAAGAAATGTGGGAATTTTCACTCACGTGAAAAACACTAGTATTAGTGTTTCTCACTTCTCGCGGGTGAAACTCTCTTCATTGAATTTTCATCATTTTTTTGCTCAGGTTTGCTGATGGTGAAATCATAGTTGATATTGTGGATGAAGTGCGAGGCCAGGATTGTTTCATCATACAAGTGAGTTTTGTTGGGATAAACGTTTTCTTTTCTCAGCTGAGCTCAAGACTTTCACGACCAAGTAGTAAAGAAATGTTTACACTTTTTCACGGAAAATAATCAGAATTTTCGTATTTTCACGACATGTGTAGAATGACCATGTGCATATCTCTCGTACTGGGGGTATTTGTTGTTGGAATATATATATTTCCTTTTCTCAGCTGAGCTCAGGATTTTCTCGTGAATTACAGAAATTTATATACTAATTTGATTAAAAGTGGAGTTTCACCCGTTTTACGTGAAGTGGCGTAAAACTCGGTGAAAAACGCGGTGATATTCGCGCCCTGTAGTAGTCGTGAAATATGTTTTTCACTAGTGTTTTTCATATCACTAGGATGAAACTCCAGTGTTCAAAAATTTTTCCCCCCAAAAAAATCATCATAGTTTTCATATTCTCAAATTCGTATATAAAATTTTGGAATTTATGAGAAAAATCCTATTGATGTCACCGACATATGAAGTTGGCAATGTGCATATTATTTTCCCACACTTAAATTCGATTTTGTGGATAATCGTTATATAAAAATTAATTTTTTTTAGAAATGTTCAGTGACTGAATTTATAAGTGTGTCATCAGGAGAAGGTTTATGTTTCCTTTTTCAGCAATTTCCTATTAGCAAGAAGAGTGGGGTCTCTCGCAGTAGGTGCCTCCATGATGCAATTATGGAATCGTGTTTAATGGTGAGTTATTTTTTCCGTTTGTGTGGTAGAGTTTCACGGGCGGTCGTGAAACAGTAGTGAAAAATATATTTCACGACTACTGCATATCACCGTGAATGTCACGGTGATTCACGTAAAACGGGTGAAATTCCAATAATAAGTAATATTGGAATTTTCGCGATATATGAAAAACATATTTCGCATTTCACTTGGCGAAAAACGAACGTATTACCGGTCGCGTAAATATATACGTCTTACGATTCACATAAGCATTATGTCACTTCACGTTAAACTCCATTGCTATTCAGATTTCAGCGTTACGTCGTGCGAGTGCGAAGAGTATTACGTTGATTACGCCGTACTTTGCATATGGAAGGTGAGTGTAGACGAAGTTGTGGTAGGAGTTCGGGTTTCGGGTTTTCATATTCGGGTTTCGGGTTTTCGGGTTTCTTTTGTTTGAGTATTTGATATCATTGGAGTTTCAACCGTAATACGAAAAAACTCACATTTCACTTGGCGAAAAATAATTGTATCATCGGAAATTCACATGGAGTATTACACCACTTCACGTTAAACGGGTGAGACTCTCTTGTAATGTTATTGATATGCATAGAATTGAATTTCATCTTTGATATGGAAAACACTAGTGAAAAACATATGTCATAATTCACTTCATATTGCGTTTTTCACATAGGTTTTTTTGTTCAGGCACATGGAATCTGAAGGTGTAGCAGGGGATCCAGCAGTAACGCAACCAGCGACCCCTCTGGCGGCCAGCGATATCGCACTTATGTATGAGGCGATGGGTGTCGATCGAGTTGTCGCAGTGGATTTGCACGAGGGCAGTTTGGAAGGGTAAGCGAAAGGTATCTGGTTCGAATCTTTGTAGGAGCATTTAGTTTTACAAATAACGTTTCCCAGGATGTTGTTTTTAATGTGATGATATTTACATAGCAAACTGATTGAAAAATGTGTTCCTAGCCATACGTGGAAAATCGAAAATGAGTTTCACCCCCGGGAATATTATAGGTTCCTGGATGATTCCCTCGGGCATTTTTAGGTGTTTTGATGTTCCTGTTACCAACATAGACCCCCTGGGGCTTCCTCTGAAATATTTCCTCAGTAAAGACCTTCATAATCCTGTTGTGGTTTCTCCCGACAACACAGCAAGCGACAGGTGAGAAAGAAATTGTTAGCGGAGCGAAGTTTTTTTTCGTGGTGGAATCAGAGCATTTTTGTTTTGGCGGCGACTTCAGAATCATGGTGTCAACTGTGGGCTGGCCACGATGGTTTCGAATCGTAAGTTGGGGAAATTGTGATTTGATTTAAGACGTTTGAAAAACACTAGTGAAAAATATATTTCACGACTACTGCATATCACCGCGAATATCGGGTTTTTCACCGAGTTTTACGACGCCATTTTACGTAAAACCGGTTGTGAAATTTCAATGATTCAATCTATCCTGGTGGAGAAACATCCTGAGTTTAACCCGTTCTATGTAAAGTGGCGAAATACTCTACGCGATATTCGCGGTGGTATGCAGTAGTCGTGAAATATGTTTTTCCGCTCGTGTTTTTCATATCACGGCCGCTCGTGAAACTCGGTTGTATTATATACTATAGGTATCTATTAGTGTATTAATCTGTGACTATATAATCATCACAATAAACAATGCAATCATAAAAATGGAGCTTCAAGCGTGATATGGAAAACACTGGTGAAAAACACATTTCACGACTAGCGCGAAATCGCGTTTTCCTTTTCACGTGAAACGGGTGAAACTCCAATGATCTGGTTTCAATTTGTTAAGGTAAATCACAATTAGCAGAGCGTTCGCCCGATGAAGGGGTTACCATGGTTGGTAGAGGGAGTGTTTCTAATGAGCCACTGATATCGGGGAAACCGCACTTATCTGCAGATGGGACTGTGAGTGCTTCGCTCCGCTAGAAAAATGATGCATGTTTGTCATTTTTCAGCAAGTGATCATGCCGTCTGGATGGAAGAAGTCTATAGCGACTTTGGTGACGAAAGATTGGCTCGTTGGCGATGGTGAGGGAATCTTAGGTTCAAGCGAGGATGATACGGATTAGGTCCCCTTGAGGCAGTGTGGGAAAATATGCACATGGTCAACTACATGTGTTGGTGACAATATGAAAATTCTGAGAGGAAAATTTTGGGAAATTCTTGTTGGTTTCTGTACACTTCTACCCTAATTCAATAATCATTTTTGGAAACTCCTGAGCTCAGCTGAGGAAAGCAAACATATATTCCCACTCCAACACTGTATAGGAAACTCCTGAGCTCAGCAGCTGAGGAAAGCGAACATATATTCCTACTCCAACACTGTATAGGGAACTCCTGAGCTCAGCTGAGGAAAGCAAACATATATTCCTACTCCAACACTGTATAGGAAACTCCTGAGCTCAGCAGCTGAGGAAAGCGAACATATATTCCTACTCCAACACTGCCTTTTGTATTTCAGTTGAAGGTCGTGATTGCATTATCGTTGATGACATCATCGACAGCGGCAAGCGGATGTCACGCACGGTGGAAGAACTGCGACAACATGGTGCTAGAAGGTAACCATCACACGTGGTTTTTGTTAGGTTAATTATCGGGAAATTTATCATCTCGAGATTTTTTTCCAGAAAATATTAATAATTGGAAGAAAAAAATCTATAGGAGGTTTTGTAAAAAACGGAAAAAACGTCTTGTATTGACGAAAATTTTCATGCCGAGATTTGATTTTTCCCAGAAAAAAATTCTCACTTTAGTGTATATATCTATGTTTCTATCTATGTAAATCTACTTTTGTTATGTCTCAGGATTTATATGTATGCCACGCACGGCGTGCTGTCGCCGGCCGCGATGGAGCGCATCAACCGCAGAGGAGTGACCGAGGTGGTTATTACTAACTCGTTACCGTTCCCGGAGCAGGCTCGGAAATGTGAAAAAATCAGAGTAAGTTGGAATCGATCAGGTGATCGATTTGTAGTTGGATATTCACAGGTGCTTTCTTTGGGCCAAGTTTTAGCTGAAGTGATGTTGCGAATTTACGAACAGAAATCGGTCTCGCAAATGTTTTGGGTGAGTACGGGTCGGAAGAATCTTGAGGTTGTCATGGTAAGATACGGATGAGGTTCAATTTTCACTGTTTGTAGGATAATCAGAAGAAAGAGGGCAGCAAACGTCCCAGCGGTACGGCCACTGTCTAGTGTTTCTTCATTTTCGTTTCTGCACTGAAGAGGTCTGCTTTGTGTTAACAGTCAGTGAGGCATCCATACGGGTATATACAACGAGGGTCTGAGGCCCGTCTAGGGCCTATTCTGAGTTCAGGGGGAAATAACGTGTAATTTCGAGCTGTGCGATCGGCTAAAGGTTTTTAATGTGAGTATTAAGTTGGGGCTGCGCATCTAAGGGGCTTGCATGTGCGACCCGCGGGGTTACTGTTATTGAGAAAGATTGTGAGATTAGCGGCACGTACATGTGCGAGAGAGAATGTTCTGTTAAGAATAGCACGGCTTGAAAATGCTAAACCATTGCAGGATTGAAAATGGGAATGAAAAATCATTCTGGGAGTCTCTACGATTCAGGAACGTTATAAATCGATTTTCACTAAATGTCATCATGCCTTCCTAAGGTCATGGGTGAACTCCCCTAGTAACCTCAAAAAAAGTCATTTGCATAACGGTTTGGTTCGCACTGTATATGAAGTTGCTTGAAATTCGTTCGCAAATAGCACGAAGGATTGGTGACAATGCATGATGTAAAACGTTTGTAGCATTTCCTGACGGTTACGGCGTGAATTGTGAAGACACGAGATGGTCACAACTTCGCGTATACTGTAGGATGCTAATCGAACCAGTGAGTAGTGTACTTTGCACCAGCAGGACAAAATGATGAACACGTTGGTAAGCGTCAACCTGAAGGTGCATTTTGGAAGATCTTTTCGTGGGCTGATTTCCTGCGCTGGGTTCGTTCTGTCTCCGGCACATGCATGGCGCCTCTCTAAAACTCTTAGCGGATTACACCAAGCATCATGGGAAATGCTTGTAGCTTTCTTGATGTCTACGGCGATGAGTATTAAAGCTACGAGATAGTCACTACTACAACATCAAATAATCACTTGGTCATTGCGCATAGAAGGCCATCATAGCGATTGAATTGACGAGCACATTGCAGTAGAGTAAGACTGTTTCAACCTGGTGAGGGAGTAAGTCTGGAGCAATTACCTCCATCGACGACCCACGGCACAAACCAGTAGTTCTACTGGTCTAATGGTTAAAAGGCTACCCTTTTCAGAAGTAGATTCCTGGTTCGATCCTCGCACCTAGAACTTTTGCGTCACAACAGACTACGTCTATATCAATGATGGTTGGAAATTCCAGAATTACACGCCCACATGTTCTCTAGAATGTTATAGAGGAATATCATCAACAGTATGAACTACAAAACCTTTCAGTATTGTACTTCTGATGATGAAAGTATAACGCTCACTGTAATTGAGAAATACATAACCGTAGACCTACTCCCACATCCTTTTGCTTGAGTTCATAACCTATGAAATAGCTACACTACGAAATACGTCACACACAGTGGAAAGTTGCAGAAGCCACCCGTCAAAGTGTGCCAACCCAATACTCACACTAACAGCAACTCAACAATGTGATCAATGAGAAATGCAAAGCATTCACCCCCCCACATCCTTTTGCTAGAGTTCCTATCCTATAAGACAACTACATTACACTAGCCAATGACCCAGTACGTCAGACTGATAGTCACAAACTCTCAATACTCACACTAGCATTAACTCAACAGAGAATGTGAATCTACGGATTAACGCGTAAGATGCTATACAGCGGTCACACGAACTCTCCTTCTCAGCAAGGGTACAGGAATACGACGACGAAGTAGCGAAAAAATCGCGCAACCCCACCACGGGGTCTGCAAACCAACAACACTGTCAACAACAACGACTTTTCCATCGCCAACTATGGTAAATGAATCAAAAAAGTCGCATATTAACAGCTGAAGGAGGCTGAGACCGGCGAGGGGGGAAGCTTCACAAAGGTTCAACTAAGGAGCCATGCCCTCGAAAGCACTTAGTACCTGAAAGATACCACTGCGCGCACACCGAAGATTTTGAGACTTACTTAGTTGTAGGGATTGGTCTCGTAGTGGGGATCTGTGAGCTTGGCATATGTCGAATAGAAAGGGTCGTGAATGAAGGCCTTATCCACGGGGAAGAAGACCAAATCTGATGATGACAATTCCACAGAGGGAAATTCCCCATCATCGTAGCGCTCACCAGTGATGTAGATGGAGAAGAAGAAAATGAGGACGGTGAGCCATTCAAGAGCCGGACCGTTGTTAGACCAGGCACCACAGGTGAAGATGACCAAGGCGATCATCAATAGGACCTCAGCAGCTGAAAATGATAGAAATAAGACGGGAAGGGCGCACAGGTCTTTGAGCTTACTTCGGCGAGAAGTGGTTGACATGCTGTTATTTGAATGCAAGTAAAACACTGACTGATACAAAGATAATCGAGGGCGAACCGGGGAGAATACCAAAACGACTTATACGATGCACGAGATAGAAAAGGGGGAGCGTTCTCTATAGGTTTCATAGTTCTGTAGCCTTAGCATAGTGACGTTGAGGAAATGCAAGATGGTTCAAGATTTGCAAGTTTTTCAGAGGAAATGGAGATGGCGAAATCCCAGCGTTGCGTTGCGATGGGATCGATCTATGCCGTGGTTCATTTTGCAGTGTGGGGTGAAATATGCACATGGTTAACTGCGTGTGTTGGTGACAATATGGAAATTTTCATGAAATTTTGGACATTCTCATTGGTTAATGTACACTTCTATAATTAGCTTTGGGAACTCCTGTGCTCAGCTGAGGAGAGCGAACACATATTCCTATTCCAACACTGCTATTTTGCATCTCACATGATCAGGCTAAATATATCTAATTCACTGAATATGTGATATCGTATTTCCCAATAATTGATATCTCCATTTCGTGGAACACTGTTGATGATGACGACAATGATCGAATGTTGGCCTCAGTGGCTGGGAAAATAAATGCTTGTCTAGCCGTATGGGAATTCGGCGTAACAAGGAAGAGCGAATAAAGAGTTGAAGGATGCTTATGTGTGTCAAATGAGAATGTGAAAATGGTGAAGAGGACGGGTTTGAAGTGGTGGAATTGCGGTATGGAATATTCGCGGAGGGTTGTTGTGTTGAAAAATTCCAGGAAAATTTTTATGTGGTTTTGAAGTATCAGATCAAGGTTAGAGCTGAAATTCTCTCATTTCTCCGAACTTGGGTTCAGAAAATTTCAGTAAATTTCGTGGAATTTTCGAAAGTTTCAGCGAATTCCAGGAAGCAGGTGAGAGATTTGTTAGTTGAAATCCCGATGAGATCCGATGCGTGTGTTGGTAAGACGATATGAAATATATTGTGTCAACCTGAAGCTCATATGAGCTCTCAACAGTGACGAAACGGTTCTGAAACGTTGTCAATCGCTCTTTACTATTTTTATCATTTTGTCCCTCAAAAAAAGGTCATTAGTGACTCTTCCGAGTTATCGCAGAAACGTGAATTGCATAACGGCTTAGTTCGCACTGTGTGAATGAACCGCATGAATGTAACATTCGACCGTAGACTACGACCGACTGGACGATGACTACGATTCGTAATCATCCAGTTGGAAGTAGCTGTCGAGTGTTGCATGACGATGACCGCCGTGATCGAGTTGAACGGCAATTACTCATGGATCGTGATAGAATATATTCAAGTTGAACAGCTTAACACACAGCGATCGTTCGAAGAGCCTCTTTTATGGGGTTAATCATAAGACCGAACCAATATCTATTGTTACTGGGAATCCCAGTCTGGGATAACAGCAGCATTGTGATTCACAATTTGTGAAACACCTCAGAGCCGGTGAGAATGATACTAACAGTGAATGATGGGAAATCGTAGTTTAGTGATGGTATCGTCGCTGCCGACTCGTCAGGACACTGGGGGAGAACTCGAGGAATCGCAAGGCATTGTGGATCACAATAAATAACTTGAGCTTGAGGCAAGCTGGCTATAGAAGTACTCTATTCCGCAGAGCCGATAAACGAACTGGACAAGCTCGGGGCAAAACGGTTCCCTATGTCGTGTCATTGTTTGGTAACCTTGGCGATATGGTGTCGCCGACTGCTCAATTGCTATACTTAAGTTTTTTCAGTAAGTATTTTCAGTGTCTTGTTGATCCGTTCATGGTAATGTAAATCGTTCCAGTTATCCGTACAAATTATATGAGATACTGTACGGTGCAGTCTCTCGTTCATCTCTCGATTACTCCCAGGCATTCTTGGAGATTCCACTGCTTGTTTTCCCTCTCAAGCTTGACAAAAGCAAATGGCTCTTCAGAAAAAACTGAGTATTCGGGAGGTGCCGTACTTTGTCGAATCTTGCTTTACTTATGTGTCAACAATGTTGGAAATTTTGTCCTCGCTTTGAAGACCCACGTCACCACGGCGTGAAGTGGGGCGCATGGTGTTAAGGTTCGCCCGCCCTGTTATATCTGTAGCTTATCGATTACGCTATTTGGTGCAATGAGCAACCATAGTTATTATGCAACCCTCTCAAGCTGTTACCTATTGCGTTCCATATGGCTAGTAACCTAACAAGTGGTGAAGAACCCGTGCTTCAAGAACCCTTTGCCCCACTGCTGCAAGCTCTGCAATTACGTGATCCTTCAGAGTCTGAAGTTCAGACCTTGAATTTGTCACTGCTGCCGACGTTACCTCAGCATTGCCACGTGAGGCCACACTTCAACAGAAGGTGGACTTACTACGCCTCCTTAAGCAAGCCCATCACTCACAGCGTGCATTAAGCTCAGTTGCCTCTGTGTCCGGTAGCCCCCCGTTCTGCTCGACGCCGCTCTGGACAACGATGATGAAGATGGTAGAGCTCTTGCTGGTGTTCTTCGACTTCAACCCCCAGATTCGGCTAAGTGGAAAGGCTCCTCTGATCTACGCCCAGCGAAAGCCTTCTTATATAAGGTTGCAGCCGCTGCTCGCCTTACCGCTTTATCTGAGATCAACACGTGGAGGTTTCTCACGCAAGTATGCCTACAAGAGCGCCATACCAGAGAGCTACTAAGTTATCTAGAGGCTAATCATGGTGCTGGACTATCGATCGCCGATAAACTAAGGTTCACCGAACTATGGTTTAACCATCGCTGGAACATTACCAACAGTGTGGATCGAGTTTACCAGGAACTGGATACTGCTTATCCTTATGCTGTTACCATTACATGCTTACATAGCCGGTTCTTTCGGGTATATCCTATCATTTCTCCTTCTACTATTGCTGCATGCTCTGCGCTGGAAGATTGGGCGAGAAGCTATGGAATGTACCCACGAATAATTATGCATGACAATGATAAAGCCTTCCAGCTACAATTCACTTCTTGGTGCATGCAACGTAATATTGTGCAAGCTGCGGTACCTCTTTATGCACCTGAGTCCAACTCGGCTATTGAGCGTCACAATCGAACATTTCACGATGGGTTGAGAGCCTGCATTGCTTCTACTGGTGTACTGGATTGGACTGCCCATTACGACCAAGTCGTTAATCGCATTAACCATGTCCCTAATTCTACAACTAAAACTGCTCCTTATGATGTCTTATTCAAGGTTCAACATCATTGCCCCTTACGCAACGACTACAAGTCCTTGGACTCCTTTGTCTACCCTTTCCCGCCCGATCATTCCCCACGTTTTCAGCAAGGCTCGGTTGTGGCGCGCAGATCGGAGAGAGCTGGCAAGTTGGATCCGGCATATGAAGGCCATTATGAGGTTCTAGAGGAAGTTAGACCCGATGTCTTCTCTATCCGACGTATTGGTGCCACCAATTTGGTGGTACTGGTGTCAACGCTGTCCCTATACAACTCAAAGCAGATCGCCTTAAACTATTACCAGGGTTGCCTAGAGTACAGAAATTCTAGTATGTGCATTACCTATCACATCCTACTCAGCGAGCATTACTCACTGCTTTAGGCTGTCGATACTATCTCATTGGGTTGCAGTATTATCCCGCTAATCTCTTATTCTGGAATCTTCGTCCTTCCGTTTTTTTCTTTTTTTTTCTTTTCTTGTTCTCGAGGGGGGGGGGGCAAGTGTTAAGGTTCGCCCGCCCTGTTATAGCTGTAGCTTATCGATTACGCTATTTGGTGCAATGAGCAACCATAGTTATTATGCAACCCTCTCAAGCTGTTACCTATTGCGTTCCATATGGCTAGTAACCTAACACATGGCGCGTGTGGCGCGGCGTCACGCCGCGCCGCTGGCGTGCATCTGAATTTTAGTCCTTATGAGCCGCAAGGAGGGGATTGACTGTTGCAGCCTGTGGCATCAGTCTTCTCCTTGGATGGTATACTATACCATCCTATACCTCGCTACTCAGAGTTTTTTCTCCAACATACATGCTGATCCGTTATCTCCAATCCATCTTCATCTCATGCCTTGCCCTAGCCCAAGATCCGCATGGTTCATACTCTGGGACCGAGCAGTCCTATGGTTATCTGAAGTTGGTGTATACATTCTCCAACGGTGCTGAAAAGGTGAAGATTGGTTTTTCTTGTGGGTCGGGCGCGAGACCGACTGAGAGGACTTTCCCTGTCACAAAGAAGGAGGCGACGTACTACGAAGTGCAGGCTACTGTACCGGGGAGTTTGACTCCAACACCCAAATGGAAAGCATTCCTAAACTCCTTCACACAAAGATGCCCGAAATACGCGAATCTCGAGGGAACGGATCTCGTACAAATGGACTACGATGAAGCGAAGAAGACTGTGTTGGTGACGGTCTCCGGAATAGATATGACGCTGAAACACGAATAATGTGCACTCAGCAAGTCCCGGAACTCTCGTCCTACGATTTGCTTCAGCTTAATACTATTTAGAAGAGGGTGTCTGATACTCCTTGACGCTTCTCCTTTAGCTGTGGAAACCTCGACGATATGGTGCCGTCGACACCTCAATGGTTACGCATATCATCATTGGTCTTCTCAGTGAGTATTTTAGAGCTTTGACGAATTATCCATTACTCATTCGTTCGTACAATCTCTTATCATCTTTCGATCATTCCCAGGCATCCTCGCAGATTTCACGCTTGATTTTCATCGAGTGTGACGGAAGCGACTTGCTCTCGGGTGGAAAATATTGAGTTTTTGGGAAGGTTGTTCTCAGCTGTGATTCTCATGGATCACTTATAGCTGAGCCTTGATAGCCAACCAACAATCATCAGACGCTCCTGACTTGAGCTCTAACAGTGCATGTTAATTGGTAAACTCCGGAGTTGGTAACTTGTATATCTGAGCCGTCACGCTTGAACAGACACTATGAATCATAACTTATGATGTCTTGGTGTTCGCGGGTGCAAGGCGGATCAATGATCAGATCATGACGATCTGAGATCATCACACGCCCTCATTGACGTCGAGACCCGCAACCTGTAGTAAATTACTACTAGTAATTACGCAGGTTCACTTCACGTACTGGCAAACCGACATGGTAGGAAATCCCCTGCGGTATCAGGAAATTGATCGGACGATCTCATGAGCAATGACTGTTCGACTCACTCGAACATTCAGCATCTGCAACATCGTCTCGTTCGGACCAAAAGTGGTCTAGCTGCAGGGTTATCGATGAAATTGCAACACCGTTCCTGAAATGTGAAATTCACATTAGAATTGCATTGAAATTCAATTCATTGTCGGAAATGATTGTCATTGTCCGGCTTCGATTTATCGGTTTGCACTTTTTCCAGTTTCTCATCCTACCTCTTGAGTCGGATTGAGTTGAATAAAAGCCTCCCAGAGGTCCTGGCTCCTCGCCGTGGTGTAGGAGTGGTCGGGCTCCGATCCAGTATAACTCATACTGTATGCAGCTGGTATCAATTTGATGCTATCAATATTGCCAATATTTATGACACTCACGCGGTAAAATACAGTCGTTTAAAACGAACTTTGGCCACGATAAACTATCCTAGACCAAGAAAAGAGTGAGTCTGTGGAAGCACGATAGGCTAGCAGCCTACCGTACTTCCACATTTACTCGACGAGTACGACGTACGTGACATTTTTTTCGTCGCCTTTTGCTGATAGGGTGACCGAGCATGGGAATGGTATCCTCGGGTATCCTACAATGTGCGCACTGCGCAGTTTTGAATGAACTTTGGAACAGTTTTGAATGCTCCTATGACAACACTCAACCCAACACTCTTATATTTCACGACGAAATCATGCAGGGAAACTGTCAAAAGCACTGAAGTCCATCAGCCCCTCCTCATCTCGCCGTTCACTCGCTGACGGAGTTCCTAAATTTGGCTCACAGATTTCGCGCGCCGTAATCACAAGTTAGATTTCAAGCCTCACAGCACGTGGCACAAAATGATAAAATGATACTACTACCTCTCCTGCCAATAACAACCTTCGGCAATCCAGCATCCAAAATCGGCAATTCCCGCAATGCTTCGCTCCGCCCCTCACCATAGAAGAAATACGGTAGTCGTAAGAACATTTTCCAGCACCCAAGCAAGATACTACCAATCCCAATGATCGTAATGACCACCACAGCCATGCGAATAGAAGGCGTTGCAGATGTGTGATTCTGTGAGAGGAAGAGTAGCTGAACGGCAAGTTGAGGAGTGGTCAACAACATCATCCGCGTCACCACCTTCAGATCCAACACCTAGAACGTATTTATAAACTCTTGTCATACTCCAGATGAATGTCTAGGAATTCCAAATCGGAAACTTTCCGAAAAATCCCCGGAAAAATTGGAGAGTTTTCGGTTTTTCATTTTCGATTTTTTGCGCCTTATTACCCCGTTGGGAGATATTGTAGCCTTCCTTAACCCCGGACATTGGTGTATTCTAGTCGTTGCGTTAGTCTCATATTTCCTCCACACTGCCTCTGCTATAATAAACTGATCCATCGCCACAAAACCCAACCCTTTTGGTAGTTGACCGTCGAAATCCGAACGCGCCAAACAACAATTCAATACCAAATAATGAACCTGATAATCGTATCCGAATCGGCGATTGGGGTGAGAGATATTTCACCACGAACAAACGTATTCTTATGGATGATGAATTCGACTGACACCGTTGTCGCATGACTCTCAGCCGGTGTTGAGGAACCCCTCGCCGACATGCGGTGACCAATAACACGACACTAAGATCTTGAGCCAAGATGGCTACAGAACCTCAATGCTAGAGACTTACTACGAGAAGCGCAGGTTCCAAGAACCATACGCTTCGCTCTATAGGGAAAAGCGAGAACATCAATGGAGTGACTCCATTGATGTGCACCTGCGTGTCCTGACCTCTTCAGTGTTACCACTTCTGAAGTGTTGAGTAACTTTCCTATCACCATAGCCCGCAGATTCCCACAATGCACGCTCAGTCCAATATGTACGTAGATCATATGAGAAGTTCAGCATATCAAATAACTGATCTATCTTCTCGCGCACTTTGCTCAAGAAAGCATGATGAGGCCATAGCCCAAAAGTTGAGTCAGCAGGGAATGTTAGAAAGTCGACATCTTTTGTTCTACTGGCTATCTCCTCCTTGTTGAAGTGACCAGCAGAACGTCCAATAGCAAATACCATGTAACTAATATTTGACTGTTTCCACCGCGTTAGAGTACCATATAGGCCGTTGTGTGGTGAATACCTCACAGCATCACCAACAGCCTTTAGAAGATCAGAAGCTTGTACTTTACCAGACCCGTATATCACCACGGTGCCGTTGCAAATAGCTTCTTCAATGTATTTCCGTACATGCAGTGTGAGTATATAGAAAAGAGTACAAACAAGTTCTTTAAGAAGAAATTTGGCAATAACTCATTGAACTCATTAGCAATAGCTTGCCACCTATACTTCTCTTATAGTGTAATAGACGACTCGTGGAAGCGAGAGAACAACATACCAATATCCTCCCATGGCACTAAGTGTCCTTCGTTCTCAAGAGCGAAACCATTCTTTATGCCCAACTTCTTGCACTGCTCGAAATTACTCACATATCGACGCTTTAGCCTGCGTGGACTCCACGCCGTGGAGCTAGTGATGAGACTAAATCCCACATACTTGGACGGAACCTCAATACTCGAGACTTACTACGAGACTACGTGCTCAACGATCTCAATACTCTAGAATATACGTCAAAACACGTCACAACCGTTACTGAAATTTGTGGCGAATGATACGCCATCATAAAAACGTGTGCGATTCGAACCCGCGACCTTCCGTATACCCACCACTAGACTCATCCCCATCCCCGCTGCACCAGCCATACACAATCCACTGTGGATCTCGTAACACACAGTAATGAAAAGACAGTCGAACGGAAGCTCAATACGTAACCCAACCAACGCCAACGAATTCCACAAATTCTCCGCCGCCGAGTCGCCCATAAACCTCCTTGATACCATCAGCTCATACCGAACGTAAAGAGCGCTCGCCCAGGTGATCGATATCACACATACAGCCAATTTCACCTCCGTAGAAAGAGGCATGCCGTGATACACCAGTGGTGGCAGAGCTATACAGAATCCCACCCAAACTGCATTGAGGAAATGCAAGTGTTTCAAAAAATCCCGATACGACCCAAACGATGAATTGCTGGTGATAAGCTCATCTAGAGTAGCGAATGACGAGCTCAAACCTAATGGGAAATCAAAATAAGAGAACATATAACTATATGTAACATAGTTCTTATGTTACATGTGTTTGAGACATTTCCGGCCGAATTTATACAGAGACTATATATGTGAATTTGTTTCCCTACATATACCAGAGCGTGGCGGCTTATTCCGTAACTACCAAGTTCACAGTAATACTTCTATACTGAACTGCTATCAGCGTGATGAAAAGGGCACTAATATATAAAAATATGTTACAGAACTCATGTAACATATATTTTTATCGCAAATCTTATGTAACATGAATATATTGATATTCTTATAGTTCATAACATAACTTATATCACATGTAACTCATACCAATTATATAACACATAATGTTATATAACAACATGGTGATTGAACCGATTGAACTCCACGGTGGAGTCTCCACCACGAAAAGAAACACTACTTCCACTATATCATATATATTCATTATAAAATTTATACTTCTAATACGACATATGTTGTTATAAATCAACATCATAACTGAGCAAGTCATAATTTTTTTCCACGTCATAACTGCGCCAACAGGTTCATAAGCTTCCTCACTTCCCAAGTTACTCGTACTGTACTCATGTCTCTACCACAAAGAGGGAAATACTATCTCATCATCGACTTGCTAAGCCAGAAACCAACACTCCCAATCCGATTATTACCATTACTTTCCTCCTCCACACAAGTCATAGTCGGCCATTCGCGAAAACTAAAACCTATTGAGTCAACGAGACATTGAAATTGTCCAAAAGCCCCTCCGAGGTAATAGAACCGGACAATAATGAGATAGGATAAAATAAATTTCTTGAAAGATTCTCGCGTCTGTATACATAAGGTTGGTAAAGTTTACCAACCTTATGTTGGTAAACTAAAGAAACAAATCTAACTAGGGTTTACCAGGTAAATCCTAGTTAGAAAACGGTCTCCATTTTTACCATGATAATAGCGCCAATATATCCCCCGCAAGTTCGAGCCACCTCCTCAGCAAGTTAAGATACCGACGACTGTGACGTATTTTGACGTATTTACGTTTTCATCTACGCTTCTCGTAGTAAGCCTCTAGCATTGAGGTTCCGTAGCCATCTTGGCTCAAGATCTTAGTGTCGTGTTATTGGTCACCGCATGTCGGCGAGGAGTTCCTCAACACCGGCGGAGAGTTAT